TGTGTGTGTGTGTGTAGCATGAACTGTATTTGGGCGCTATGTTCTCAAGCAGGGAAGGGATAGAGCAACCCAGCTTAAATAAACAAAAGGGAAGAGAGGATGAGGATAGGTTGTAGACAAAAGACCAAAAAAGGTACAAAGGTGTGACAGATGTGCTAGGACATGCCAAATGTGCCATGCATAACCGGAATACATGCACGCCCTCACCCTTTGTGGTTCTGCCTGAATGTTCCCTACTGGCCCCACCCCTGCTCATCTGCTCTCACTGTGTGTTTAGGAAGCAAGTCAGCCCTTGAACCTGACCTCGAGGCCAAAGGGGCTGGAGTTGGGTAAAACACCCAGTCCACATAGCCTGGAGCTGGGATCACTGGCACTGCAGGGATCCTACAGACCCAGAGATTTCCAGAGAGAGGTGTCCCACAGCCCACCACGATCTGCCCTCAGTGAGTCATGCAGACACTGCTCTGATAGACAGTGGGAATTCATGGCCCCACTGTAAAAAAAAAAAAAAAAAAGTCAAGAAAAATATAGTAGTTTACCTGAACTGCTAATGCAGCTCCAAACATTACAGCTCCTATGTACCCTTCACAATGACAGCATTCCCCTAATTTGAATAAAAAAGCAACAGCTGAAAAAGCCTTATCAAACATCCTTTGAGTTTCTTGTTTTGTCACAGTAACAAAATTCAAATTGCCTCCCTTTGGATCACGAGACACCTCCTTCATGCTTACACAATGTAAGTGCCATTATATATATTTCACTTAACTGGTGGTAGTATGGCACCTAGAACTGTAGCAATGTGCCAACAAAGGCTAAGAAGCCTTCTGCAAGGATATAGAGAAAAATCCGTTATGTGTGTTTGTGAAAATATACACAAGGTTGGTTTGGTAAGAATATACATACAGCAATTCTAACATTTGGTTCATGTGCTTTGGCCATTTTAACCTCAGTTAGGCACTTTTGGTAGCCATCCACAAGCTTCTTTGACCAGAAACAGTACAGTTAAACTAAATGTGTTTTCTTTCTAACACGGACTTGTTCAGAGAGATCAATCCAAATCCCTAATTCTGATCGGATTGAACCATTTCTTTACCACTTTTGATGTGTGTTTTGGGTTATTGTCTTGCTGGAACACCCAACTGGGTCTGAGACCCAGCCTTCTGGCTGATTATGTTGGGTTATCCTGACGAATGTGAAGGTAATCTTCCTTCTTTATTATTCCATTTACTTTATGTAAAGCACCAGTTCCACTAGCAGCAAAACAGCCCCTCAGCATAATGCTGCCACCACCATGCTTTACAGTCTGTTTGCTATTCTTGGGGTTAAAGGCCTCACCTTCTCCCCTCCAAACACAGTTCTGATTATTTTGGCCAAATAGATAATTTTTTGTTTCATCGGAAAACAGAACTTTCCTCCAGAAGGCTTTTTCTTTGTCGATGTGATCAGCAGCAAACTTCAGTCGAGCCATAAGGTGCCACTTCTGAGGAGGGACTTCCTTCTTGTACGGCAGCCTCTCAGACCATGGCGATATAAAACACAGGGAACACTGACAGCTGTGTTCCAGCAACTTCTAATTCATTGCAGAGCTGCTTTTTTGTGATTCTTGGTTGACTCTTGATAATCCTGACCAATAGTCTTTCAGCAGCAGGTGATAGTTTGTGTTTTCTTCCTGACACACAACTGCACCATGTACTATAGACTTACACATTGTTTACACAGTTGATTTTGTGATCTGTAGCTGCTTTGAAATGGCTCAAAGGGACTTTCCTGATTTATTCAAGTCAATGATTTGTTTCTTCGGATCTTTGCTGAACTCCTGACTTTCCTACTGTCGTGTTTGTGGCTGAGTCTAATGAGTGTATAAAATGTGTTCTATTTAACTGTCTCAGGAAGTCAGCAGCTGTAGTCAAACATAACCACTCAGAAGAAGTAAAGAGGCCATGCCACTGTGAAAATGCACTTAACAACTGTCTAAATCACAAAAAAAAAAAAAAAAAAAAATGCTGTATGTATATTTTTGACTCAGAAGATTTTGACCCTTTTTTTTTTTTTTTTTTTTAAAACAACTAAATCAGTGAAATAACCAAGATGCATCACTATGTTTTGTGACGAAGGTGTAGGTGTTTCAATCATTCCATCATAGGAAATAAAGAGCTGAAGGAGTGAGTAGAAACTGTTATGATATGTGTTGTCTTTCTGAGCGTATGTAAACTTTTGTTCACAACTGTACGTTCCTATTGGTTTTTATAAGTAAAATGTTACATGACATAAAACACAAACTATTATTTCAATGTCAGCATAGCAAGCAGTTGAAATGCATTTTAATGGTAAACCGTTATCTTTGTCAAGTTTTTAAATTTGTCAACTTTACGTCATTTCCACCTGCAGAATAATAAACTAATTATAAACTGCAGGTGACCGTTAATAATATCCACAATGGGTTTCGGAGGAACTCTGACACTTTCCTCCTCTGCTGGATTTTCATTTCTTTTTCTTCACCATCTGGAGCTTGTCCTCTTATTTCTCTCATTTTTTTTTCTCCTCTTCCTTGTGCTGTGTTTTTGTCCTCAGGTTTCCTGGGAGACAGCGATGTGGTCACCCAGGCCATCCACGATGCCCAGCAGCTCCTGAGGACTCACAGCAGCGGAGGGCGAGACAGAGACAGGGACAGGGACAGGGAAAGACATGGCAGTGGAAAGGTGATGAGCAAATGTTTAAACTAGAGATTTGCAAAGAGTCTCTTTTTTTTTTTAGACATGTACCCTGGATGTTTTACATATTGGTCCTACGTCTGGATAAGTGTCTGACACCTTTGTAGGCTAGGTTTGACTATATCTTTAGTAACACTCTTGAAGTGGCACAAGACTGAGCTAAATGCCTTAAGATAGGTTTACAGGCTGCTTTAGCACAACATAAAACATGCAAAGACACTTGAGAGATATTGTGTGAGTTACCGCTGTCTTTCTTACTCTCATAGTTGCTTTCTTTACTTCGTTTAATACTGGCATGTTCATTTAGGGCTGCAGCCTGCATCTCACGTGTCTGGTTATGCTATCATTTGACTTGAATCTGCATTTTTTTGCCACTGTGGGGCAGTGGAAATAAACTACAGACATAAAACCAACATATCTATAGCTTTTAGATAGATATGGCTAACATGTTAGCAAGTGGTTGCTTAGTTACAGATCTAGCTGTTATGATGTTACATTATCATTGATCTGAAGTTGTGTTATTAAAATCCAATGTTCACTGTCTTTTAATTCTTTTTTTAAATTTTTGTTTTAACAAAGTTACTACTTGGTGACCATAGTTGGCCACTTAACAGCTAAATAAGAGATATTTCAATGGCCCACTGGTTTACACACCAGTTTGAGCCAAGTCAGGTCAGGAGAACAGGATATACAAATCATTAGTGCTCCACTATGTTCACCTGGTAGTTACCTTGTTGACTACATACTATATAATTGGCTTTAAAGGCTTTTTCATAGGCAAAGATGTTGCTATGACAGCAGTGAGCCAAGCAAATCAGTGAGGTTTGGGGGTGGGACAGCAAATCGAGAATAGAAAAAGGCGATGACGATCACATTGTTTACACATTAAAAATGTAAAAACCTTGACTCTAGTTTAACTCATCAGCCAATCAGGTCATGGTTGTTCGTAGCAAACGACCCGAATATCCAGAATCCTTTAAAAGAGAGGTGAAGTCATCCATATGGCTAATTTTAAAGAATTACAAGAGACCAAAACGGCCTTTTGACCACCACCCAGTGCTGTAAATTCAAACTAATTCAATTATTTTTAAAGACCAGTTTATCAGCAAAGCAACCTGTCAGATCTTAATGTAAGTTGGTGAGTGTGGGATGCAAATACTTTCTTACTAAACAAACCTTATATGAGGAAGCAGTGTGTCTCTCTTTCTCTGACTGATATCTAGGGGTCTTATCGGGGGGGTCAGAGTCTGGTTTAGGGTTACAGGGAGTCATTCCTTTCCTGAGGATTAAGCAGACAGACGACTATGCCAGCTGTGGTTTACCCACACACAGAAGCACAGTGTACATCTCAGCAAACTCTGTAAAAACAAAAACCGTAAACTGTTGGTGTTGTATGAGCATCTACAGCATTGGAAAATTGCAAAATGTAGTAGATTCAGTTGTTTTAAGTGCCTTTAAAATATCTCAAAAGTGCATATTTGTGAGGGAATTCAATTGTAAAAAATGCTTGGTGTTTATTTGCTGGTGTAGTTCTCGTAAAAGTCGTCCTCTATTCTGATCTTGGTTTTCATTCTTTGGGGTGGCTGAAGCTTTGGTCTCAGCCGGAGAAACAGCTGTTGGAACCTCACAATACCACAAAGGCCTTAGTGTGGCATTGACTGAGCCACCTGCCCTCTCTCTTTTTCCACTGTAATAGCTCCTCTGTGGCTCTCCTCCTCCTCCTCTTCTCCTTCTTTATCCTGCTCTATCTCGTCTTTACTGCTGCCTTAACACCAATACTGTTGACTGACCTATTTTGGTATTACTCTCCTCTCCGCTGCATGAGAATAGAAATCGTTTTACAACATGAGAAAGGGTGATAAATAAAATGCAGCTGGTGTGGTAGCTTTGCAAATTCAGAGTTGCTACTTTCTCACCTCTGTCTTTGCTACTTCACCTTTCCTCCCTCCAACAATGTTTCTTCCATCCAACACCATTCTTCTGCCTCCATCGTGCTGTAATTTCCTGTCTTTGCAATTGCAGCTCTGCATTTAAACAGCATGTCTTCCATATCTTTACCTTAAATAGCACCATGTGTCACAAGAGTACCTTGAACACACCGCTTGAACACTAAGGCATCATTTTACTGCAATTTAAGTTAAACTAATTTCATAGTGCTGCAATGTGAATATTTGCGTGACTTTACTGCGTATCTGACTTCATCCATCTTTGTCTGTTTCATGTCTATAGGAGTTCAGAGGTTCTCCCAGCAACGAGGGAGCTTCTCACTGTGAGCGGGTTGAAAACAGACTCCCGTCCACTGAGGACCACCTCAGTAGTGACTCTGAGGGTACGTGTCCCTGGAGGATCCGTCTTTGATAGTCAGAACTAGGAAACAACATGACAATAGGCAGTGTTTTCACTGAATCGTGTTCTGTCATTGCCTTCCTCAGAATATCATATTGACATTTAATTATCAAAAAAATAACCACGACCATCAGATGAAACTGCACGTATCAAAACACACCATCATCTTTGTGAATCGTTGTAGCTTAAATGAGAACGAGAACGAAACTTCAGAGTTTAGGAATATGATGGGGGAAAGTGAATCATAACTGCATCCTTTGTGGTTGAAGACAACATTTTTACTTTGATGACTAAAGGTTAATAGCTAGTTTGAAAGATATCGGCCCATTTTAGGCTTGTAGGAAAAAAGTTTAATAGAAGTGAAGTTTACTCTTAGGAAGAAATCTGTTTAGAAACCTGTTATTCATCTCTTGAAGAATTCCTGAGGAATGACTAACATATTCCAAATCCATCCTATAACTATGTTTCCTGCAGGTGCCCTGCCTGTCTCAGTCCCAGGCAGCTACCCTGAGGCCCGGCACCCTCCTTCTTCGGGCCACATCAAAAGACCCATGAATGCCTTCATGGTGTGGGCCAAAGATGAGCGCAGAAGGATCCTGCAGGCCTTCCCCGACATGCACAATTCCTCCATCAGCAAGATCCTGGGTGAGACATATACACACATGCATGTTAATTAAAAGCAAATTATTGCTACAATACCTAAATATGACTGATTACCTAAATGCTTCACATACAAAGCTTTGTTTTTTTTTTCCAAAACGCTCTGTAATGGTAGGTTGACTGACATATTTATGTCGCCTCTCACACCACTTTGCACCTCTACATGTGTTTGATGTGTTAACCACACCTTCATCCAGAGAAAGAACTTCACCAGCCATGAAATCAGTTTGTTGGCCTCCAAAGCAGGAGCTTATAGTAGCTAATGTTAGCAATCTTTTACTAAGTATTTGTGTGTAACAAACGTTAATGAATCAGATTGCTGAGCTAGTGATGCTTCTTTGATTGCTCCATCAGGTCGTTACGTTTCGGTGCTCTTTCTACAAAAATAAAGAAATATTATCAACAGCCCAATTGCCTGTTTGTAAGTAGCTGAAAGTGTTCTTGCTTTGCTCATTTTGTCACATGAGACATGGGCATCTTATTGGCTATCTGGTGTTTTAAATATAAGCTATAATTGTTTTTGGAAGGTAAATATATTCTTTTTAGAAAATAAACCTTTAATACCCCAAATTTAAAATGGATTACAATTTGTTTTAAATTTTTTAAATGGGTTCCTTATCTTGTTAATATGACTACCATATTTCAAATTTATGACTTTGTGTCTTGTAATTACGGGAAAAGATCCGATCATACTGCATCAAGTCAAAGGCATAGGTTCATGCTGGTGCTTTGAAAACAACAGGAAGTTAGTTTTAATGTCAAATATTGTTGTCAAAGCTGGACACAACCATATGATACACACATTTTCAGATGTAGTGTGATTTACATGTTCACATTATTGACCTAATCATTTCCAAAGTCCATTACAAAAGTCTGATAAGAAAAAGGTGCTTCAGCACACTTTGAGCTACTGACACCAATAAATTGTCAAAATGTTCAGCTCTTAATTTTTATTTATTTTATTTTTTCCAGCAATTGGGGAAAGTGGAAAGAATGTTAAAATATTTTTTGAACAACCTCCATATTGAACTTAAACTACTTCCACAATGTGATTACCGAAGCAGAGTGACTTACAAACACCCCAAAGCGTCAGGAGTTCCCTTCAGCTGTCACATTCACTCTAATGTTAATTGACCTCCTCAACTCTTGAGCAAACACCCAGATGTGAATGCCTACACCAAACAACACATCAAGATCTTCAGCAACGATTCTGAATGCCCACAGTGGAAAAGGTTTTGCACTTACTTTGATTGTTTGCCCTTTTCCCCCCTTGAGTTGTAAGAATCACCATAGCAACTTCCTTTCTGAGCCTGGTATTCATGATGACTGCCTCAATGGGCCATGAAAAATTTGCACAGTTTTGTGCAGTAAGTAACAGGACAGCAACAGGATAGTGGAAATTAGCTTCATCATTTATTACTATTAAACTGTATATATAGAGTCTATACCAAGTAACGTGAGCTTAGCGAGTTGCTGTACAGTAGTCTGCATTTTTAAAACCTCCCAAGCACATACCAGGGGTTAATGGGAGGGACTTGGCCTTTGTCAAATTTTCTAAACAGTTTGTTACAGGAAGTGTTCTTTTAAGTAAGACAGTCTTTCAAAATAAAAGCACTCAGCTGTTAAAAGGAGCTTACCAGAGGTTTTGTGATGAGCTGACTGTTCAAAATAAAACGAGCCTGATTGAAGTTTTCTGTTGTTTTGGGTAGTATATTGCAAGCATCAACACAAAGGCATGAGTCTCTGGTCCTCCTCGTCGCTTCTTTTGCTCGAATCCCCGTCTGCACAGACAGTCGCATTGCTCCCCAAATCGAACACAGAAAAACACACATGGGCAATTTTTACAGAATGTAGCAGCTACTTACAGATTGGTCTGTAGCACCATGTCAGTGAATATTCCTGAGGAGTGTTTACCACAGTGGGTGGACCTGTTAGTGGATAAAGCTCTGGTTAACAGACAAAAACCCTGAGAGACTAACCCCCCACCTCTTTTCCCTCTGCTGTGAGAGGCAGGAGAGACCAACCCTCATACAAGGTGAAGGACATGAGTTCTGAATAGTTCTGCAAATGTATGGTTTGTTGCAGTAAATATCTCTATTGAACAATTGCATTTTGTAAATTTCCTTTGTATAGAATTTTCACAACACATTTCAACTTTTACAATTCAATTTTATTTGTATAGTAGAGTTTACAACATATGTCTTCTCCCAGCGCGTAGCATAGTAAGATGAAGACCTTACAAATTTAAACAGAGAACCCAACGATCTAAAGTTGCCTTTGGACTCCCTCTGAGCAAGTCTGCAACAGTGGGAACAAAGAGAAAAGAAAACCGATGGAAGGGGGAAAAAGACCTCATACAGAACCAGGCTCAGGAAAGGCAGCCATCTGCCTTGACCGGTTGGGGTGAGAGTGGGGATGAGGGGGGTAGGGGTAGCTGGAGGGGTTGGGATGGGGATCCAGTGGGGATTATACAGTGGATTCTGTTTGTAATTTATTGTCTGCTTTATGTAATTATTCATTAGAATATGTTTTTTCAGGTCAGTCAGCCTTCCAGCTTCTTCTTCATGTTCTCAGCTCTTCACTTTTTAAGAAGGCAAACTTCTTTTTTTTAAAAACATTTTTATGAAAGCTAATTACATAATGACTAAAATAGGACCGACACTTACACTGTAATCTGCCAATGACTGGGATTAATACAACATGAGGCCAAATAAACCTTTTAAGAACGCTCACACTCAAATGCTGCCTTTCATTGGCTGGGGATCTTCTGTGAGCTCACCCCCTTTGTTCCAATGTGTTTTTGTCTTTAGGCTCCAGATGGAAGGCCATGTCCAACCAGGAGAAGCAGCCTTACTATGAAGAGCAGGCGAGGCTGAGCAGGCAGCACCTGGAGCGCTACCCGGACTACAAATACAAACCGCGGCCCAAACGAACCTGCATTGTGGAGGGACGAAGGCTCAGGGTGGGCGAGTACAAGGCCATGATGAAGAACCGCCGTCAGGAGCAGAGAGCAACCTACACGCACAGGTAGAATCTGGAGAGGCCAGAGTGCTTTCCACAACTATGAAATAATGGAATTTGTCCATGGCAGACAACACTGAGAATTCACTTCACTGACAAGAGTTTGTGCTGCACCTCCACATGCAGACAATGGGTGCAGCTTTGAAAGCTTTTTTTTTTATTATTATTCTTGAAGACACAAACAAAAGTGAAGTATTGAAACTACGACAGGGCTGTTTTTCAGTCTGTCCTCGACAATGAATAGAATCCCTCACTATTTGTCCTTCGAACTCATCCAACTAGTTAAGCTGGGGGAGTGGGAGGTTCGCAATGTTAACAGTTTTGTGTGCTTTGTTTTAGTGTTTTCTTTGCCTCACTACATCTTTTCCCTTTTAGAATTCTTTTAAAAGTCAAGCATCAGTATCAAAATGTCACAACAGATGAAGAGTTTCATTGTGATGACTTACTAAAGAAACTGATTTTGGGGGGAAAGTTACAGAGATATTGGAGAAGTACTGCATTTAGCTTGATAGTTAGCATCATGCGCTGTTCTTTAAGGACTGACTGGTATACACCAATGAGCCAAAACATGCTGACCACCTGCCTGATGCAACCCATCAAGGCCTGGACTCCAAAGTACTCCAAAGGTGTCTTGTGGTATGGTAGCATACCTGTTCAGTTCTGTAAGTTGAGAGATGATCATTGAAATGATTTAAATGCAACAGAAAGCAGCGGAAGCGTTACACTTTTAAATCATCGTTTTTGGTGTTTAAATGTATAATTCAATGTATTTACTTCATCTGTTCTTTAAATAAATGTGTATTTTTCAGCGGTTATGAACTGGTTAGCCTGTGGATGAACACTGAATATGTTCAAATTGGCATCTCTAGATATTACCACTAAGTTTGAATCATTTTCACTCTGTTTTTGATCATTGTTTGTTTGTGAACATGTCTAAACAGTAAGTTAAAATCTGCGTATTATTTGTAATAATCAAACAATCATGAATACTTGTTAACCCATTAATCGAGGCAACAATTCAGAATAACCGCTGTGTGCTACTGTGATGTATTGGACCTCAGCACCTCTATCATGTGAAAGATAAGTGCCTCGAAATATCAGCAATGCCTGCAGTTCATCAGTGTTCACATGTCATTCTCTGTCTTTTCAGTCAAACAGAACCACAGCAGATCCATTACTCCCACAGTGATGCCCAGTACCCAGGTGGCGGCGGCGGCAGCTCGGTTTCAGCAATGCCCTTTCACCCAGCACTACTGGAGCATTATCTGCCGCAAGTCCCACCCACCCAACGCAGAACCGAAGGCCAAGCCACAGCCACCGCTCTGCCCAGGGAGAGGGAACGGGAGAGAGAGCAACCTCCATACAGTGAAGGAGAGGAAAGCAACGGAGAGGAGAGGAGCGAGGGGGAACTGGTGCTCCTGACAGACTGAGGAAGGACAGATAGAGAGGGGGGAAAAGTCAAATGAAACATCAGGGATAGGAGGCAAGGTAAGGGTAGCTGAGGGCAAAGGATGTTGTTTGTTCAATGGTTTAGTGAATGAAAAAAAAGAATCACCTGTTCCCTTGTAAATTAGCCCAGTCTCTAGCAAACCCTGCTATACACACACACATAAAGCCAAGCTCTTATCATTTCACTTAATGGAGATCATGCTTGCTGCTTGGTGTTAGAATATCAGAGTTATTATTGTTTTCTTACCATTTTGACTTTTGACAAACAAAATGCCACGCAAGGATTTTAGTAAACGGAGAAAATACAGGAAATCACAAAAGTACAGTGGAAAACACAATTTTTACCTGCTGGACACACACATGAACCTGAGAGCAGATGAGGTCTTTATATCATCAGTATGTCAGCATCGCCCCCTAGTGGTGCAGTCTGGTCATCACTAAATGGATACGGTGAGAGGAGTCGAGGTCTTCTGTGCTTTTTTTCTTACTTTGTCTTACTGGTATGCATGTTGCAACATAGGAGGTTTAGATTGTCAGACTAGGATGCTTCCTGACATTAGGTTAGAACACTCCAAATCACATTAGGAGGTAAAGAAAAACAAAATAAGTGTATTTCAGCAATTTTTATATTGCAGTCCCATTAAGTGTAGACAACGTCAGTTAAAAAAAAAAAATTAAAACAATGGTTAGAATCAAAAAAGCAGACTTTAGGTCTTTATTCCAGCCCCAAAAATACCAGATCCTACACTTCCCATGATGCAACCTAATATCTTTCATTCGACACTTCCGGCATTTTGAATGCTGATGTTTCAAACTGCCTTTCCAGCCACCCATTTGTTTCCCGTTTTAAGTGTGAGCAGAAGAAAATAAGAAATGAAAAAGTCTTTTATTTGTGGGTGGGCAGGAAACAAATGAAAAAGAAATTGCAACAAATTGCCAATGAGAAACAATTAAAGGATGATTGTTGTCATTTGTCCTCATAAAAGTCCACAGGTTAGTCTGCCTTTGCATGACGCGATTGAGTTTTGAGAAACACACATGTAAACAATGTATAAATGAACATGGTTGGTGAACAGCAACCATTCCCGGACAAAGATGGCTGATGCAGTAACAAAATGTTCCAGGCAAGTTAGTTTCTGTGTTGACTTTTTGGTCAGACTGAAAAAAAAAAATAATAATTTAAATGATCATAAAAAATATTTTTTGTAAAGTGCAGGGAGTTCATACTAGTTACCCTGATACACACTGTTTGCACACTTTTGTGTGACCCCCTGTTAGACCAAATCTCTACCAGGAGGTGGAGAGTGGAACGTTAACATGACCCATGAAGCCACAACAGTCACATTAATGGGAAAGACTGCATGCTAAAGTAAACCAAAAGTATCCTCCAAGGCTAATTCATAGTTTATGCATCCACATGTGTGCCATGTCGCACATAACATGAATTCAGAGTCTGCCCATGTCCTGACTGCAAATGTGTCAGGAACGTAAACTGGATGCTTGTTTTGTGCAGCATATGTATGTCATAATGTTGCACAGCATTTCACATCCTTGACTATTTATTTTTGTGAAATTACTACACACACTTCTTTCTTTTTTTGGCTTTTCCAGTCAAACACAATAAACACGGCAGCTCGTCTTGCTGCTGTCAGGAGGTTGCCAGAATTTTTTTTTCTAGTGTGCATGTTTGGAACCGATGTGGCTGGTGCACCTCATCATCTTGTTGCACTCCACCCGCTTTTCTGCAATAGCTTCACGGCACCGACTGGACCAGTAGCATCAGCATGCTTTTTATTTCAATGAATCGGTTCCCAATATTTGTATCATAGCAACGGCTGGAAATAAGTTTTAATTCACATTTTATTTTGTCAGTTTGTTTTTCGATCTAGCCCATGACATCATCACGGTTATCTTTTCAGACTTTGGAGGCGATCTCACCAGAGTGCCTTTTTAGTATATTAGGGTAAATTAGAATCATATTGTAGCTGCAATCAGGGGCATGCTTGCTTGCAACGAAAAGACAAAACAAAACATGGCAGTTGGAATTCATTATTGGAGGCTGGGTCTTATATTCAAGCGACGTGCTTGTTCTCTCTCAGGGTACCAATGAAATTCCTGTTGTGGCCCCGGTAGTACAGTAAATCACTAATCAGACAGTCCTCTTCCTCATCTTTCCACATCACATTGTTTAGTCGTGCCGTGCTACACATGCTGGAGTTGCATTTTCAGCAGTTCACTCTCCACAGAATGTTGATTTGATGTCAGCCTTGCCTATTTTTGTATACCTCTGTGTTAGCTTGCCGCTTTGAGTGTTTTTTGATTGTCGTGTTGACCATCTGCAATCTGTGCATCACAATTTCTGCAGTTTTTCTTCTGAGATGCCGCCTCTCACAACACATACAACATACTGTTCTCATTATTACTATTAAGACCAAAATGAAGGTGAAGTTCCATCTAAATAGACTAAAGTACTGTTCTTTCATCATCTTCTACATTCCTGTACCACAGACAGTTAATCAAATCAGTGTGTCCACTCATTCACTATTTCCTCTCTCGTTGACATTCAGTAGAGATCAGAGAAATGATATTTCTGGCATTTAAGAATCACCATGACTTTGCATGGTAAGTAGTGTACATGCCATGGAAGCTACTTTTTCAAATTGTGAAATTTGAGAGCACTATATATAGAGGGTAAATGTACACACTCAATATGTGGATGCTCAGTATGTAACAGCAGCGAGTGTGTAGAGTGTGCATCATACATTGGGAGTAATTTCAGACAGATTTTTTTATTGGCAGAATGTGTGTAAAATCCCGGCCCATATTTGGTGAATGCAAACATAGAGGAATTGTGATTTTTATGTATGACAGCATTTCTAAAAGTGAAAGAAATCTATGTTTTTATGGGTAACTGAACCTCCATTCAACTTCGTAATATGAACACACACCAAACTCATCTCTGCATCCTTAGAAGATTATGCTCCATGTGAAGTATCTAGGCTGCTCGGTGATTTTTGGCTCCTTGTATGAACTTATTATTGGCATATGTTCTTTGATAGTACGTCTGCACTGACTGTAACTCTGTTGGTATTCTAGTTGTTTACCAATCAAGACTTACAAGATTTAGTCAAGATTTACCATTACACCATGCTTAAAAACAACACTTTTTAAGCACGGCTAAAGCACGGTTTGTCATGAGCTGGTTAAAGCAGTATTTGTTAGCAGAACAGACACAACTAACTTCCTGAGTAGGAACACCAACTTAATGATTTAGGATTTTCCTTGCAGGACATGGAGAATTCTCCATTCCATTAGTGAAATTCAGTAAGCTCCATGTTAATGATGCTACTGCTTTAGCATACACTGTGTCAAGTGACTGTAGATTCCTATATGAATTGAATGTTATTTACTATTTCTAAAGTCAAATGCTGAGTCATTTTAAATGAGCTCAACTTGTAGTTTTGTGTAAGGAACTCTTAATTTTCAAGGTTGACAAATCATAATGGTGGGAAAAGACCAATTTCATACCTCTGGGTTTGGGCTCATCATGCTAAACATGCTGGTTTTTGTGTATAGAGACAGATATCAGAAGGAAATGTTTCTATTGTTTTCGCGGAGATGTGCTGAGGAGTCACCTGTCATTACCCCTGCTGATGTAAATATAGAAAGAGACTTTATTTTGTTTATAAGAGCTTGTGTAATTTAAAGGTGTACATTTCTATACGTTTTCTGATTTTGTGTGTTTATTTGTTTTTTTGATTTTTGACAGAAAATAAATTGATTGTGTTAACTGTGTTTGGTAAGATTATGTGTCTGTTTGTATGTCTGTATTTGAAGACTGACTCTACCAACACACCGTGGTTGGTTCAGTACTTACTCACACACGGATGATATTGCTTTATAACTTAGTGCACTAGCTTTGACTCCAGCCAGAGAACGCATTACAGTTACTTAACAAGTCAATCAGAAAATCTAACACACTTCTTAGCTTTGCTCAATTATCTCTCTCTGAAGGATTTCACTTCAATATTTAAGGTCAAGATGAATGCCAAATGCACATTCTGCTTCATAATAAAATGTTAACTTGACTTGGTTGTCATATTTTGTTAATTTAATTAAATTAGTTTGGTTACTTTGTGGGCTGCAAGGTGGCGCAGTTGGTAGCACTGTTGCCTCGCAGCAAGAAGGTTGCCGGTTCGCGTCCCGGTGGGGGAATCTTTCTGCGTGGAGTTTGCATGTTCTCCCCGTGCAGCGTGGGTTCTCTCCGGGTTCTCCGGCTTCCTCCCACACAGTCTAAAAACATGTTGAGGTTAATTGGTGATTCTAAATTGTCTGTAGGTGTGAATGTGAGTGTGCTTGGTTGTCTGTCTCTAAGTGTAGCCCTGTGATAGACTGGTGACCTGTCCAGGGTGTCCCCTGCCTTCACCCTAAGTCGGCTGGGATAGACTCCAGCCCCCCTGCGACCCTAATGAGGATTAAGCGGTGTACAGATAATGGATGGATGGATGGTTACTTTGCTACTTTATACTGTGCCAATGTTGCCATCTGCTGGACTGGACCAGAATAGTTGACAGGGTGCTGTTCGTTTGAAACATGAACAAGTTGAAAAAAGTTGAAGCTTCAGCTCTAAACTACAGTTATTGGTAGTTCAAGAAATGTAAACAGGAAGAACCTTTGTTGTGTGAGCGTTGACTATTCAGCCAATCATTGGTGAACCCCTTTGTTTTGTTGGTACCAGGGTGCCGTCTTCCTCCACCTGTTACTCGTATTAAATCGTGGCGGGATATGGCAGAAACTAGAGTTGAACTGGTTCATATTGCAGCAGGACCATTGCCTCCCAGTACAAAATAGACACATTTTCATTGTAGAGTTCAAAGACATTCCTTAAGGTTTTTACAGTAAAGTATTTCTGTTAAATCTGTCCAAAAAGTGAAATTTCTTAGTTTTTGTTAGTTGTTTATGGAATTAAACGTTCACTCACATTCTGTGCATCTCTTGGGGGCTAAGCCCCCCTTTCCTTAAAACCTAGTGACGCCCCTGACCATGAGCCTATGGGCGGGGGTCGCCCTTGCTTCACAGCAGGAGTGTTTGGTGTGGGGCAAGTTACCCATTGATGCTCCTGTGTCACCAGGAAGTGTAACCGGTGGTTTCTGGACTGCGTTGAGTGATGAGCCGAAACACAGATCTCTTTGAAGGCAATCTCCGTTTATTGCAACTTGACAGACGATAAAAAACGTACACAAAATCTGCTGTCAGTTGCCGACTTGCACAGCTATAGAAATTAAATGACAGGACATATTAGAACTGGGAAAGTAAACTTATGAGTGAAATTATGTACATTAGACAACACACAGATAATAGCAGCACAGTCTCGCTTACCTCTCCCACAGAATACATGAACAAAAAGGAAGAGGTAAGGCGGGAAAAACGCATTTATAGGGCACGGTGGGCGACCAAAAACAAACGAATGTGGGGTACTGGGACCCCCAAGTAAAGGTTCCACATCATAGCCAAAGGACAGACCAGGTTTTGGGTAATTCTAATAATAAAATTAATAACAATAAAATAGCAGTACATTAAAATATATACGGTACATTATGTATAACTAATAAAACAATGCATATATATATATTTAATATAAAACCACTGCTGCTCCACTGACCCTGTTACAGAGTCCATTATTATTTTACCTGTTAATAAGTATGTTTATTACACGATTTGCCCAAATGCAAGTCTTAGCAACCAAGTTATTATTATTGTAATAAGTACATAGTAAAATGTGAAAACTTCATCTTACTTAAACGAATCTAGGAAACCGGTTGCACTCAAAAAAGGTAAGTAAATATAACCATTAGTCTTAAATTTAGTTTACTTCATATCTACTTGCAAAGTTTACTGAAAATTTAGTTGTATTTACTTAATTATGCGAACTCAAAAATAGCATAATAGTAAAATGAACCTGATCTTTCCAAGTGTTAGAAATGTAAATAATAATAATTGGTCCGATTTATATAGACCTTTTTAGACACTCAAAGTGGCTTTACACTGTCAGTTACTCATTTACACACATTCATCCTGGTGGTGGTAGCCACAGCTACCTACTTTACTGCTACCACACAGTTTTTATCCTTAGCACATGCACTTGATTGCACACACACTTCCAATCGGCACTCCTTCTTCTTTAGCCCATATATGTGATACCTTTAGGATCTGATTCATGTATTTGGTAACAGCACAGAGCACAGTCTGGCAATCACAGGATACATGCTGGTAAAAAGAGGAACCATTAACTGCTTTAGCAGTGAGTCGCAGACAGTGACCTCATATGTCTAGACATGAACTGTTTCAGGGACACTGACCTTTCTTGCTCTCTTGACATTTTCACCTCTTCTCTCCTCTTTAACTGTGCAGCTTTGATTCAATAGTTACACGAAATCACCTTTAATTCACTGCAATGTTAAAATAACCATTTCATATTTAAACAGTCACCAGATTACAACATTTCTTATCATAGAGTCTTTTATATTGCTTGCGTCGGGCCAGTGTTCTTTGTTAGTGGCTGCCTCTGGGATCTCAAACCTTGACACCACTTGACAATATGCAGCTCGTTTGTGTATATGCATGTCCTTTGCACCCGTCGGCCACTATTCTCAGCCTCCTCAACTCTTCAGTCCTCGGTCCTGCAGACCATGACCTGGAAATCAGTCTTAATGCATCATAACAGAAATAAAGATAAATTGCATATGGAGGATGGAGGCTGGAGGAGCACAGGTGTGTCCTCACTGTGTCCTCACTGTGTCCTCAATGAAGTCTTTTCTGTACCAGTCACGAGAAAGAGACGACACACAGCTGGGCTATACAAACCATGTCGGCAGCAGGACTTTTAATCAAAATTATGTGTGCCATAACTATTTTATACTTCACACTGGACATGTGTGTTACATATCAAATGAAAATGTATGACTGTACGTTATCATCACATTCCACCGTGTTGGGACTTGAGTTCTAAGTAAAAATATATATAATCATGAACACTGTTCTGCTTATCTGACAGAAGAGGTGGAAAAAGATTTGAGTATGTGCAGTTAGTGAAATGGGAGTAGGGGAATATCCAGCATGTCAGTGTCTTTATAAGACATTATCAACAACCACAAAGACAGAGACAAACCTGAAACATCAAATATGCAGCGTGAAGTGCAGCTGCAAGTAGTTTGACCTGTTGACAGACGACAGTTTGACAGCGTGCACACGGTGTTTCCAGACCTCAGTGGCTTTGATTTAAAGTTGGCATAATTATATTTGATTGAATTTTAATTTATAGTCAACAAGGTTTTGACAGATGTTGAAAAGTCACAGACTGACAGCCGAGCAGGAGATGTCGTACACAGAACGCTCCTGCATTTCACGAGCTAACATTTCAGTGTTGAACTGTAACAAACAAATATTTGCGTGTATTTAAATCGTTGTCGTCCTAAATACATTAATGTTTGTTGCACTGGTCATTATTAGACACCGGTAGCTTGCTAAACTTTCAAGTTAACATGTAGCTCGCAAACTGCTAACTTTAAAGTTACCATTAGATGACAGAAGTAGAATGTTGGAATGAATCTATGGAATGCTGTTTTATTCAATATCAAATTAATAATGAAGAATTTTTTTGAAATAAAGACACATGAAGATGAAATAAATCCAGAAATAAGCAAAACAGGCAATACGTATATAAATAAATATAACAGTTAAATAGCTTGTTTCATACTGCCACAGTTATTTATTGCACTTGAGTAAATGTATTTACTTTAGAATTAGTTTCTTCAAGTGTATTTTACGTAACTAGTCACCTTCGGAATTCAGTTCATGTATTCTGGAAACAATACTCAGTCAAAACAGATACTTTCAAAGTCGGATTTCATTTATTTAATAATTCAACTAGAGCTCTGATATATGGAATTATATCCAGTTCTATTTAATACACTGACCAAAACATACAGCTGACAACAGCGGTCAAAAATGATATTTATGTAATTCAAGTTTACCAAGAAATAGAACCCTTGATGGTCTGTGATGAAATGCAGCATATTATTTAATCATAGAGGATTGTTCTCGCTCTGAGAGGAAGATCTTGTAGTTTTAGTCACAAGTAATTCATGTTTGACTCAATTCTAAACTCGACCAAAGTCTGTGTCAGTGGAGCTGAGGCCTGATAGTCAATAACCAAATGTGCAGGAAGACAACAAAACTTGTTGCCGGTTTGGTGAAGTTGCTGTTGACCACTTCTAGTTTGGAAGTTTCCCTTTGGTCCAGAGCTGAGGGAGTGCTTTGAAATGCTATGAAATGAGAAGTGAAAGAGCAGTCACAAAGCATCTGACATTTACATTAGATGTATACCTGACAATGCACAAGTACACATAAGGAAATGATTCCTTTCCTAACTTCAGTGCCATAAAGCAGCGCAATGGAGAGCAGCCGCCTGACATTAGTCCCACACAGCTGGATAATCTTGTGGACTGTGGCTTCACTTTACAACACTTGAGACTGCTGAACCAATCAGCAGCAAGGACTCACACATACAGATTTGCAGAAGCAGCACAAAAGCTTAATCTCACAAAGTGTAGAAGAAGTGCTGTGATGCAGGGTCCTAACACAGCCATTACCGTTCAGTCCTTGTCAGTCCCTCACATCTTTACACTGCCCAGTTTTTACTGCTTCTAACATCAACTTCAAGAACTCACTGTTCACTTGTTGTGTAATAGATCCCACCTCCTGACAGGTGAGATTGTCTTGAAATAATCACTGTTAGTCACGACATCTATCAGTGGTTATCATGTTGTATATTAACACCAAAGTCATAAATGATAAAAGTTTTATTTTAGTATTTTAGTTGAGATACCACAAATGACCAACTACCAGCTATTTTCCTGATTAATCTAGATGATTGCGTTTCTTCCAAAAAAAGGAAAATGACCAAGAATTTAAAGTTAGATTATTGTGAAAAGCTGTATGTGATTGTATTTTGCAGCACAGTATGAAATGCCAACTTGAGTTTACATAGTGAAGTGCACAACTGTAGGTCTAACCTGGAAACTAAAAC